TAATGTAGCAAGCGTACAATGGTTTTAACGTACATAACTCTGTATATAGTTGTATATACAACTCTGAAATTCAACATTTCAGTTTATCGGAACACATAATCACAGTTAATGTCTGTATCATATTGGATTTATTTATTGATTGATTTTCCAGTGAAATTTAATGACTTTGGCTTTAGCTTTTGCGTTTTTGGCTCAATTTTTAGTCGCTTAGGTATTTTTTAACCATTTTCAACCAACACCAATCGTTTTCGATATAAGTGCGAAAATAATTGATGGTAGTCCATTTGCCAATCAAATATTAGTCTACTGCTCATGTATTTATTTAAATTTAGTAAACGAGATTTGCAGTGTACCGAAATAATCGAAACTTGCAGTGTACCGAGCAATAATAATCCCCACCATGTTATATGAAAGCGAAACCTGGGTGCCATACCATCGGCACATGATCGCATTAAACAAGTTGCAACAGATACACCTTAGATAACTCGTAAAAATCAAATGGTTTCACCATGTCTCAAACGTATTGGTCCTTGAAAAAGCTATCTGTGAGAGCGTTGAAGTCGTGATTACTAAAAGCCGCTTAATGTATGAAGGCAGAAAGGTGATAGGAGCGCTGAACTCGGTGCTTTGGTCTAAGGATATCTCGGATCACAGAAAAAAACTGATTTATAACGCGATTCTGAAAAGCGTTATATGGCTCTGAGGTATGGCAGTTAAGCGAAAAACATAAAAAGAAGTTGTTGTCGACCGAAATGGACTTCTGGCGAAGATCAGCCCGAATCTCCCGTTTAGACAGAATTAGGAACGAGAGAATACGTGAAAAAATGAAGGTGGAGGGTAACATTTTACAAGATATATAAGAAATACAACTGCAGTGGTACGGCCATGTACAACGAATGGCTGACGATAGAATACCAAAGCAAGTGTTGCAGTGGACCCCTACAGACAGATGTAAACGAGGCCGACCTAAACTTTCCTGGAATCAAGGAATCGACAGAGCATGTCGGAAAGGAACCTACTACCAGGAGATTGGGACAATAGACGGAGGTGGCGCATGGAGACCGGAGGGCGACGAAGGACGCTGTAAAACCGGACATACATGTATGACCGCTGGTCACGTATGCAGGATGTAAGAAAGCCGCCTAACAAAATCTCTTCTTTACGGTGAGCTTGTAGACGGTAAGAGGAAACCGGGTGGACAACTTATGTCAAAGCAAAAACTAATACCATTGTCAAATGTCAACTAAATCAATTGATAAAAAAATCTAAAATGCGGACATTATCTGTGATACTGTTCATATTTAAATACCTATGTAATTTAATATTAATTCTGCATTACCTAGAAATCTAAAATCCTACTACAATGAGATTGCGCATTGGTAATTTGTTGTAATTAATATTTTCACTATTTACAATTTATCTCTTGCAGAATAATATAAAAATTAATATAGTCGAAGTCTGTTGGTTGCTGAGAAGCATAAATTTGAGTTTGAAAGGTTAAACTTGTGCTAATACACTTACATTTTTCGCAGATTGATATATCTATTATCCTATATAATTAGAATTCTCATATTATAGATCTGTAAAATTTCTTTCCGAGATCAATACGGTATAATATGAGTTAAATATTTTTCTTTGATATACTATTAGCATTTTTAAAAATATACAGAGTTAAAATAATTGCGATTTTGCCAAATCTTTTTTGTTTTCAATAGAAAATAGTATTACACATAAAAATACACTTCATAATTTAAGTAAAGCTTAGTTATAATGTTGACTAGATATTTTTGTTTCCATTCTTAAATGGGATCACTGCAAAAATCCTGAACAGATGGCATTTTATTTACATCAGTTAGTATACCCGGTTTGTTGAACTTTTCTCTAATACTTATTGTACACTTAAGCTAAGTAAGGTTTAGTAAATAGTGTTCTAATAATAATATATGAATACATATCAGATATAGTAGGAGCCGATACGTTAATGTTTTTGTGCAGATTTTACCTTTTTATCCACACTTGCTCTTTGTTTATTTCACCTTGCGAGATTGTAGATAAATAAAATGTAACAATGGCTCAAAAATCAACTTTAATAGCAGAATATAGGTATTCAGTCTTGACCAAGTGTGGAATCTCTTGCTCTCTATGTGGGTATACATGATGATCTTGTACATTTTGCTCTTTATATTAGGCTAAGAGACGAAAGAATTATTGGAAAATGGAAGAGAGAATGGTGACTCTTGATATAAGAAGTCTAAATTAAACAAATTCAGCACTTGGAATCCGGTGTGACCAATCTTCAGAGGCCAGTTTTAGACCAATCAAATTAGTGGGGTCATTTAGAAAAAAGTGTTGAGGAAAGTTAATTATTGATTTGATTGGTTTATTTGATGTGCAAGAGAAGTTTTCTAGATTTGCACGGTTGCTCAACCGCCGCTCGACTCAGGAGGCCCAAAAGATGGTAAAATTCTTGGACATTTTTCAGATTTTCGCTTATAGTCCGAAACGTTGCGTTCTAGCGAATATTTTAGTACAACGGAAATTACAGAGAATTAGATTCTTTATCGAATGAGTATACATTCACTTAAATCGGTTTAGTAGTATAGCTAAAATCAAAGGATTGGTGATATTTACCCATTAATGCTGAAAATACATTAAAGTGACGTTGAATTGCCATCAAATGGAAAACATCGCTCTAGTAAGAAATATGCAACTAAAGTTATAAAACATCAAATTGTAGGTTTAACGTGTAAGTTAAATTTTAAATTTGATTAAGTACATGCCGAGAAAATGAAAATATACCGGAACTTAGTAACAGGGTGTCCCAGAAATAAGTGCAAATATTTTAACTGGTAGTTTAGTTTAACCCCAGAAACACGCTTATGAGGTCTTTTTTCGCGAAAAATAATGTTTGAAAAATCTAAATTTTTTGAAAATTTTTTTGGAAATTTTTTTAAGTTTTTAGTTAAAAAACATAATTTCTTGATGATATGGCAACATAGGTTTTAGATTAAATTTACAAGAAAGAAAATCCACAAAAGATCCAGTGGTTCTAAAAACTGAGCAAAAAATAATTTTTTTGGAAATTTACAAAGTAAAATAACTCTGTTATTTTGGATTTATTTGAAAAACGATAGAGAGAAAATATGTTTCTTTTATCGAGATCTACCACCCCTTAAAATACTTGCACTTATTTCTGGGACACCCTGTATATGCTCTTCAGTGCCCCAAGAGAAATACCCTCCCATTCCTTCCAACTGTGTATGAAATAACTTATAAAGTGGCATTATAGATATACAGGTTGTTAACTGGGGGAACAGAATGGCAACACTGCCTATTGAGAACGCATGCATTTATAGGGTTTTCTGCCGACTCGTCCCGTCGCGTCGTCTATCTACGAGCGGCCGAGGTTGCCATATTTCATCCATAAAATTCTTGCCGCGAGTAATAAACAAATTAACAACCTGTATATTAATGGCGAGTTTACGTTCTGTAGAAAACCTAACCATCAAGGATTTTTTAAGTATTGTAGCTTAACTGATCAATCTATAATACCACTTTTTAAGTAATTTCATACAGAGGTGGAATGGGAAGATAACTTTCTTGGGCACTGAAGAGCATTATGTCAAGTGTTTCGGAATATTTTCATATTAACATATACAGGGCGGTCCGAACTGTATTCCGGAAACTTTGGCAACATATTCTACACATAAAAATAAGTAAAAAAGTTCGTATAAACTCATGTCCTAAAATGCTTCGTTTCGGAGACACAGGGTGTAGAAGTTTCATTTTTATTTCGATTTTTTCGAAATAATTTTTGAACTAATGTCTATATTTGGATGAAAATTGGTGTCTGTTTTTTTTTATGTAAATTTACTTGTAGGTTGCGCCACCTACATGTTTTTTACTGTTTTGAAGAGTAGTAACTTTTCTTCTGTCCCTGTATTACACTAGTGGGTAAAAAAATATACATTTCTTATTTTCGCTGCGAGCAACCGTTCTCAGGATTTTATTATTTTGATTGTTAATAATCAATACATGCCATCAATGACAAACATTAAACATGTTCATTAGATAGATTTTTGAGTACATTAATCATTTTCGTAACGTTCTGATACCAAAGGTTCAACAGAAGCTGTTTTAAAACCCTACTGCCCTACTGTCAGTTTTCTCGAAATTTCGTAATTTTTTGAAAAATCGCATTTCCGTTTAAACGAGTTGATGCTAAAGGTTCTACCGAAACTACATTATCATAAATGTCCTAATTTGTTTTAGGAAAATGCGCCGTTTAGAAAATTGACATGCATTGATTATTTCAAATCCGAACATCTCTAATAATTGTTATTTGTTGTAATTTTTACCAAAATACCTCGTAACGTAAAAATAACGAGAAAAACTATATTTGTACTTAAATAAATTTAATATTAACTAGCTTTACCCTTGCATACCTTTTGTTTTTAAATTAATTAATGTTATAAAATCGATAAATTTCTAGAAAACTTATAGTTAGGTTTTAAAACTGCTTCAGTTGAATCTATGATACTAAAATGTCTCGAAAATTAGTAGTTCAGTCAAATATATCTCTAGTGGAAATCTTTAATTTTTGTCATTGCTGTCATGTATTGGTTATTAAGAATCCAAATAAGTCGATAACGGTTGCTCGCAGCGATGTTTACCAAGAGACATTTTTTACGTAGAAAAAAAGCACAAATATATTTTTTTTCACTCAGTAGTGTCATACAGGGACGGACTAAAAGTTATTATTCAAAGCAGTTAAAAAAGATAGAAGTAGGTGGCACCCCCTACAAGTAGTCATATTGGCATAGAAATCGAATTTCTCATGTTAAAAAAAACAGATAATCATTTTTATCAAAATACCGAATTTAGTTCAGAAGTTATTAAGAAAAAATCAAAATAAATATCAAACTTCTACGCCCTGTATCTCCGAAACGAAGCATTTTAGGACATAAGTTTATACGAACTTTTTTATTTATTTTTATCTGCAGAATATGCTGCCGAAGTTTCCGGAATACAGTTCGGGGCACCCTGTATATTAACACCACAATTTTATGCTCTATAGGTGCGTATCGATTGCCCGCGGCAAACCGCCGAACATTGGCTCGCGCGGCTGCCGCGCTCAATGGATACCGAGTTGCCGCGCGAGGCTGCTTGAACTGATGTCCGCTCGAATGTGCCGCGGTGCGAACCAATCTTTTTCGGTTTTTGGGCAGCGGCAAAGGAGGTTCAGTGAGTGCTTTCAGTGCAGTTGGGACGGTTCGTGGCGATTAATTTGGCTCGCGCTGCAGAACAAAACAAAATTTGTATATTCCACAACAGACAGTGGCGCGTGCGGTGTTTTCGCAGTTTTAACCATGGATAATGAAAATTACCGACTTCTAATTCAATTATATGGTGCTAGAGAATTACTCTACCATAACACTACCATAACAAGTCGCTGAGGCAAGATGCATGGAACGATATAATCCTTCAGAGCTTCGCATAATGCATCGCAAAAAATGCCTTGCAAAACGTATTGCAAGCTAGTATATGAGTCTCGTGTGGCTAGAAACTTCAAAGTTATAGCTAACCTTTCACTAACTGGAATCGCATCTCGGAAGTTAGTGTCCATTTTCTTCACGTACGGCCCAATTAATATTTTTAACTGCGTAAAATCTCTGGTTGACATCCTTGTGTAATTTTTTATTGTGTCATCAATGGCTTCATATCGCATATCGTCCATAAGTCTACTAATACCATACTACATCCTATTACTATACATTTTCTTCATCCACCAACGCACTTTTCGTTTCGGTTTTTTTTAATGACGTGATGAATTACAATGAAAGCAGCTGCTGCTCTTGCACGGACGTCCATGGTGGCAGTTTGCGAACAACTTCGCGAAAGGCTGGATCGGTTGCCTTGCGAGGCCGCCGCGCACTACAAAATGAATGCCAAAAGTTTGGCTCGCGAGGCAGATAATTGGTTTGCCGCGGGCGAACATAGCTCGCGAGGCAGCCGCGGGCAGTCGATACGCACCTTCTTTCGTTTATTTTTTTTATTTAGAATGAGGTATTTCATGTGACAGACTGTCATTTTAATGCATTTTTCATCAAGTGGGTAAATTTCACCATTCTTGAACTTTCGATTTTACTGTCATACTACAGAATTAAATGACTGTATAATACTCATTTGACAGAATTTAATTCTCTTTAATTTACGCGATTCTGAAATATTCGCTAGACAGCAACGAAAAAAGTCCAAGAACTTTACCATCTTGAGGGCCTCCTGACTCGAGCAACGACGGTCGAGCAACCGTGCAAACCTAGAAAACTTCTTTTTTTTCACGTCAAATGAACTGATCAAATCAATAACTAGCTTTCCAAGCGACCCCTCTAATAAATCTTATTTGACTGGCCTATTTTCCGTTCGAGTTGAAATATTTTCGCATCTTAGTCGTAACAAAATGTATTAAATAGAGGCCGAAGCCTCTGCCATTGTTGGACACTGTCTCCTAGGTGTTGATTTAAGCGTACGACTCGCTGATGTAGTCGAAAATGTAGTCGAAGCGATGCTGCACGTCGGGCACAGGGTCGGGACTCGACATTACTGCTTGCAGCGCGTTGGCCCTATACTGTTCGCTGAACGACAACAGGATGGCGCGGATCTTTGCAATGATCTCTTCTACTCAGGCGTTTGATTCCTAGAACGGTCCGATGAGCACGGAGTTGATTTAACTTTTATGGCAAGGGGCTCGTTTACCTTTAGGTTTTCAAAGTAGTGCATAATTTGTTCGTAGTCCATATCCAGTTGGAGATCGTCCAGCCCGGGTAAGTCGGCGGGAGTCTCGCCAGGAGCGCTACCCGTCTTATTTTCTCCTGTATCGTCTGCTGAAAACATTGGATTGCCAACGATAGCAGCTCGTTTTACTTCTGCGCTGTTTCTATTGGCTAAAATAAAATTATACTTATTTAATTAAACTTTTTTTGTACATGTAGAACCAAAGACATCTAAATAAAGGGAGACAAAACCATTTACATTTTATTGCGATCAAACATCGTTTTCAACAAAAATCGATGATTTAAGGTTGATTCTAACTATACTTTCCGTTTCCATTCCATATCCGTTCCGTATTTTTTATTGTATTAACGCTATACGTAAGATTCCGTTCCGTATAAGTTCCATACTTTTTATTGTACAATTTATATCATTATGAAAGTTTTATTTTAAAAGTTTGTATCTTCTGAAAAAGGTAATAGATTTAATTAAGAGGTGAAAGAATAAATAAATATCAGCAAAATGTTATCAACGGTGTTTCCGATACGTTTCAGTCCGTCCCCCAAAAAAATGAAAGAATGGAAACGGAACGGATAGTGTGTATTGTCCTATTCATTTACATGACATAATAGACAGTTAAAGCACGACCAAAGACGTAGACGTAAACGTATCGTTTGACATGTACGGTTGCCCGGCGAGAAATTCACTTGCGTTTACGGATACGTAATACGTATCTTTACGTGCCCTTACGTACGTACAAAACGCAAACGTATCGAGCCGAAGGAGTTTCGATTTCACCCGAATGATGCCGAACGTACAAATTCACAAACAACTCGTTTCCACAACTTGCTAGTAATTAAGTTATTTCAAAAATTTTGGGGCCTCTGTAACAGAACTGGGCCTATTTTATTACAATAAATTAGTATGAAAGTATTAAGCATCATAATAAACTCATTTAGGAATCTATTTAATTAATTGCTAGTTCTTAGCCAAAATCCATATGAGGATTCTAAAAGACGGAAACTAATAAATAATCATAAAACTGTGTCTGTTTTTCAATATTTTTTATTACTAAGAGCATTTTAAGTTGTAAGGACCAATAAGGACTACTTTCTGTAATAAAATAATTTCCAATTACAATTTTCTTAATTTTTCGATATTACTTTTATAAATTTAATGTGGAATCAATGAATCAATGGAATAATAGATATCCATTTTCAGTTTTAAAATTAAATAAATTGTTTCACAAAATAATTTAGAATTTCAAATGTACCATTTGCGTTACGTACGTCAAAATACTTGCTTTAACTCTTGTTTACATGACAACGCAACGGCAGACGTAACGTAAGTTCCTGTGTTACGTGTCGAGAGGTAGGTATACGTATTGTGCCTTGTTTTAACTGTCTTGTAAACGGAAGGTATAGTGAGAGTCAATCTTTATGCGGATTGCGTTAGATCTACGGCTTGTGTTTGAAAACCAAGTACGGTAATCGCAAAACTATTTTCCGACGTCATCAATCATGAAACGAAATTGACACTAAAGCCTATATACGTGACTATAAAAAAATGAAAATTTGCTGTATAATTTAAGATTCCCAGCAGATCTTCATTTTACTTTATAGAGAAATGATTGTAACAGATATTTTATTTAGATTAAGCTGCAAAAATGAGTTTAAAACGATTTTTATTATCGCCTTGTTGGTCACATTGCGCCGCGATCATCAACGTTGTCGTTTATTATTTGACAATTATCATAATGTCAGTCATTATTTTGTATAATATCCTGTTGTTGTTGAATCTTTGGGACTAATTCTCGTTTTTTTGCCGATTTTCATAGTTTTTTTTAATTGGATTTTTTACAGTACTTTTAGGAACTAAATTTTCGAGTTTTTTGTATTGTATTGCTTGAAGTTGTGTGTTGAAAATATGCCGAAGCATTTAAACAGTCGAAGCCAAGAGCTTGTAGCTTTCCTCATAATTACTTTGAACGAGAACATGACAATAAAGGTCCTTTATTACCATTGACTGCAGTCAGAGAAGTAAGTTTGCTTGGTAAGCGCATTATACCACTTTCAAAGTTATTTCTATTTATTTGGATTTGTAGGGAGTAGCTGCTGCCTTAAATTTAAATATTTCTGCTGTGAGTGTTTAACTACTATTAATAAATAAATTAATTACTAAAATATTAATTATTAAACTGAAAATAAAACGTAAAAATCTTTAAAAAATGATATAATAAATACATTGTTTCCCAATGTTACATTAAGACTCATCTCATAAATCCATCACAATCTGGCAGCGCTGTCGCCATCGCTTGTCACTCAAAATTAATCACGTGCATCGGAAATTGTTTTGCGATTACTTTATGTTATTATTATTATTAATGTTTTTTTTTTGAGTACCTATAGAAACGGCGTACTAAATATATGTGTAGGTACATATATCATTTTAGTTAAAATACATAGATTATTCCTTTGAAATTACTTTTAGTTTTCTTATTAAATTAAAATTTATTGGAAGTAACTGTGACAGCGCTGCTTCAAATAGACTATTTCGTTTCTACGGTTTTTATGATGAATAGTAAAAGTTTGATGGATTAATTCAAGCCATGTTTAATAGTACGGTGCTATGAATTTTGTCCCGTGTTTGTGAACTTATGTGTTTTTTAATTTTTACTTTTTTTATATATTTTTAGCTTTAAGAGTAATGTACCTAGTTTAAATTTTAAGTAGTTATTACAAAAAATCATTATTGAAAATAAAATTATACTTATGCGATTTTTATGGACTTCACATCTTGAATTCTCATATTATCTCTGTATACTATAGTAGTTATACAGGGTGGTCTGAACTGTATCCCGGAAACTTCGGCAGCATATTCTGCACATAAAAAAAGTAAAAAAGTTCGTGTAAATGTATGTCCTAAAATGCTTAGTTTCGGAGATACAGGGTATAGAAGTTTCATTTTTATTTAGATTTTTTCCAAATAATTTCTGAAGTAGTCAATATTTGGATGAAAATTGTTATCTGGAAGTATTTTGACATGAGAAATTTGATATAGATGTCATATAACTCTTACTTACAGAGGACACGATCTACATGCTTTTAACTGGTTTAAAAAGTAATAACTTTTCGTCTGTACCTGTATAAACCTACTGAGTAAAAAATATACATTTACGATGTTTTTTACGTAACAAGGGTCTCTTGGAAAAAATCGCTACGAGTAATCGAGATATTTGGAACCGAAATTATCAATACCTGTCATCGACATACATTAAACATGTTGACTAAATAGTTATTAGACTAAAATAATAAATTTGAAATGTTTTTGTGCCAAAAGTTCAACAGAAACTGTTTTATCATCATTTTTTCGAAGTAAAATTTAAGATTAACTTAAAAAAAATTAAAAGTTCCCAAATTTATCATTTCAGTCAAATAACTATCTACTCAACATGTTTATTTTTTGTAAATAATGGCATATATTGACATTTCCATTTTACATGTCTTGAGAACGGTTGCTCGTAGCGATTTTTACCACGAGACATTTTTTACGTAAAAAATCACGAAAATGTATATTTTTTCACTCAGTAGTTTTATACAGGTACGAACGAAAAGTTATTACTCTTTAAAACAGTCAAAACACATGTAGGCGTCCCCTACAAATAGGAGTTATATTGACATCAAAATCAAATTTCTCATGTCAAGAAAATCCCAGACACCAAAATTTTCATCTAAATATTGGACTTTACTTCAGAAATTATTTGGAAAATATCGAAATAAAAATGAAACTTCTACACCCTATATCTCCGAAACTAAGCATTTTAGGACATACATTTATACAAACTTTTTTACTTTTTTTTGTCTGCAGAATATGCTGCCGAATACAGTTCGGACCACCCTGTATATTATAAATTAAAATTACCTTTTACGATTGTTGCTGAAAAAACACACGCCACTTGTAAACAGAAAAGACAAAAGTGCACATAAAACTTAACAGCAACCAAACCAAACTCAACAGCGTTGCCATATTTATGTACCCATCTCTTTTTAACTCACATAAAACTGTTAAAGTATCTATCATTGTCAAGAAATAGAGTTTTATGAATGGAGTGTTTCGTCTCCCCTTTTTTTAAGATGTCTTTGTGATGAACTATAATTACATTTTGAACTTGGCGATCTCGGATATTGAACGAACTTCATTTTTTCCCCAGTTTCCTTTTTTATTTCGGGTTCGTCATCGAATTCGAAAACATGCTGTCTTCTTTCTTCGACTTCTAATCGTTTTTCGAGTACTGGACTGTTATGCGCTCCATCTACAGATGGGTCTATAGCTTGCTGAAGTATTTTAACGCTAGTTTTACTTCCGTTTCTTTAAAAAATAATTTTTATGTAAACTATGTTCAAAATGTTAGTAAATATTATTTACCTTTGATGATGGTGTTTTTTAGGACTAGAGGGACTTGCATGTATGGAAGGTTCTGCGTTAAAAGTGGTAGCGAGATTTCTGTGTGGTGGTACAGGCGGTCTATAGTCTTCGTTGGAGTTGGATATTTTAGAATGAATAGGAGTAGTGTGTGGCGGAAGTGGTGGTGGTGGAATCGGTTTATTCCTGGAAAATAATATTATAATTAGATGAAATGGTGTTAGCAGGTTTAGGATTAGGAAATGAGAAACCCTTTATTTAAGAAATTGCCGACGTTTCGACGTATATTCTCGTTTTTTTGGGGCTATTTTCAGCCAAAAGGTTCTTTTGTCAAGCTTAAACATAAGTAGTGGGTTATCCCGAAAGTATGGGTTCAATTTCAAAAACATTATACAATAGTCTGTCTGTACATTCTATTTATGTCATTTTCTATCGAATAAAGTAAACAAATACCGAGTGTGCCATTTAAAAATCAAAAGTTGTAGTCATTTCCGGTGAAACAGGAAGTGATTGAAACGAATTGAATACGTCAATGGATGCTAATGTCATATACTTACATACCAAATCTCGTTCTTTATCAGAAAAAGATAAAAAAAGTTATAGAGGCGAATCACTCTTGAGAAACACCCGGTATATTATGATCTTGGCCCTAGAAAATAATACCTTCTATATAATATCATAGATAAAATGCAATCGCAGTTTACTATAAAATGCTTCAATGGACCACAAAATTGCAAAAAATGCATTCGCAACAAAATCGCAAATCGCAACTCCTAAAAATTCAAACTCGCAGATAGAAGGTTATCACTCTCCTAGTTTACAAAATCACAATCGCAACAAAAACGCAAATCGCAGCAAAATCGCAACTATAGTAATATTGGTTGCCTAAATTGACACTCGCAAATAGAAAAAATCGCAGTCGCAGTTTCCTATGAGAGCCAATCGCAGTCTGCGATTTGTTACTCATCTTTAGTACAGGGTGTCCCAATATTTCGACAGAACTACGTCTTTTGGAATCAAAATAAGTTCATTGGACAAAATTTACCTCTATACAAAAGTGAATTCCTGACGTTACTGCAGGGTCCATTGGTTTAAATTTGTCCGTTAGAGGGCGCCAAACAATAAAAAAATTAACACATTTTTTAACATATATTTTAAGAACCGTTATTCCGATTTGAATGAGATTTGGGGTGCCTATGTTTTGCTGAAGTGCTTAAACATTTGCCTTTTATATTCGCCATTGCTTTTGCATTGCCACTGCATAAACATTTTTTGTCCTGGGTAAAAAACGCCGCGCGTATACTTTTTCAGAAAAAAAAACGTTTTTCCTTATAATATCTGATCTAAATTCGGTATTTGGATGAAAATTAACATGGAAACATAACATTTTTAACATGGAAAATTTTATTTTGATGTCAATATGACTCCTACCTGTAGAGGGCGCCACCTACATCTTTTTAACTGTTTTGAACTGTAATAACTTTTCGTCCGTCTCTGTATTTCACTAGGTACTGAGTGAAAAAATATTATTTGTGCTTTTTTCTACGTAAAAAAATCTCTCTTGGTAAAAATCATTGCGAGCAACCGTTCTCCAGATATTTGAATTTAATATAATCAGTGCATGTCAATTTTCCAAATGGAAAAAGTTTTAGGAAATTTATGCCAACATGGTTTCGGTAGAACTTTTAGCATCAACTCGTTTTAACGGAAATACGATTTTTCCAAAATTACGAAATTTCGAGAAAATTGACAGTTAGGTTTGGTTTGGTATCAGAACGTTAAAATTATTAATTTACTCAAAAATCTATCTAGTGAACATGTTTAATTTTTGTCATTGATGGCCATGTACTGATTATTTAGAATCCAAATATCTTGACAACGGTTGCTCGCAGCGATTTTTACCACGGGACATTTTTTATGTAAAATAAGGCGTACATTATACTTTTTCACTCAGTAGTGTAATACAGGGACGAACGAAAAGTTATTACTCTTCAAAACAGTAAAAAAACATGTAGGTAGCGTCCTCTACAAGTAGGAGTCATATTGACAGCGAAATCAAATTCCTTATGTTAAAAACCTTCAGATACCAATTTTCATTCAAATATCGACATTATTTCAAAAAATGAAACTTCTTCACTCTGTATTTCCGAAACGAAGCATTTTAGGACATAAGTTTATACGAACTTTTATACCTACTTATTTTTATATGCAGAATATGCTGCCGAAGTTTCCGGAATACAGTTAGGACCACCCTGTAGACAGACTCTGCTGTGTAATGCTTTTGAAATTGTACTCTTACTGTCAGGACAAGCTACTACTTATGTTTACGCCTGACAAAATAATCTTTTAGCTGAAAATAGCTTTTGAAAAACACGAAAATATACGTCGAAACGTCGACAATTTTTTAAATAAAGGGTTTTATAACGCCATTTTATAATTAACATAAGGATGCAAATCTCATTTGACTTATAATAATTATAATTAGACTCTTTAAATTTAAAACATTCAGTTACTTACCATCCGACTAAATTACCACTTTCAACTTCAACGTCGCTCATTCTACTGCGTCCACTTACAATCCCTTCTCTCTTGCTTTTACAATATGTTGTACTGTCAATAGATTTTCCATTGGAATTTGCGTCACTGCCGGATGCCCCAGGAACTGGCGATCTGCTAGATAACTCAATATGATTTGGGTTTGTAAAGCTGGTGGCAAGAGAATCGTCAGGCTCTACGTAATTTGAATTTAAAGGGTTCGTAATTATGCGCATATCCTGTCCATTATTATTAGTTACCACCTAAAAAAAATGTATTTAATTGATATAGATATTGCTAGAGGGAATGAGGTAAGTACCGTTGAATTTCTATTTGATGACATATCCATTGTAGCTCGTCCCAACCAAACCCAGTCGTGAGCATTTTGTGTTGATTCTCTGGGTTTGCGTTCTCTGTGTATAACAAAATTGCTTGCATTTACTGGGGAAGCGTGAATTCCTGACGTCACTGCAGGATCCATTGGTTTAAATTTGGAAGCGTATACTACACATGATACTACAAATACCTGCGCCCAAAAAATAAGGTTCTAGCATGTATAGTACAAATTAAATAATTTAACTTACCACAATAGCACAACAGAAAGCGGCCAATAAAACGTACATACTAATTTCTAAAGGTGTCATATGGCTGTTTTGTCTCTTGTTTCGGAACATACCCTTACTTCCTTGATACTGTCTGGCTTGGACATTGGGTTCGTGTGATTTATCGTCTATTGAAATAAAATAAGTTTTAATAGATTTTAATGGAATATAAAGAAAATATACCTTTTAAAATATCATGTAAATCTGCGAAATCTCTGCCTCCTTTCGATCCTGCGTAACTTCCACCGTCGTTTTGCAGAATATCAGGTCTGTGAGCTAGATCACTGCTAGTAAAATCAACTGTAATGTGAGCAGCGGCTGTTGCCAAAGGACCTGCTGTTTTAACCTTAGGCCTCCCTAGTATTCTGCATTCTTCTGATAATAAAAGCGTTACCTAAGAGTTATAATTTAAAGAATATTATTACCTACTATTTCTATTTACAAATAAATATACCTGTAATAAATCACCACTACCTTCACCAACAGCAATCACTCTAGGATGATGTGATGCCACCATGGGTGCAAATGCTACAACTTCTGGATCTAAACTTTCAACTACTAAATGATAATCGGTATCTGCTATATCTCTTAAGGCGGTTTTGGTACCATCAGAAAATTCTAATTCAATATCTAACAAACCCTCCTACAAAAAATATCTTATATGATTATGTGCACAAACAAAATTAAATATGTGCATAAAAATAATTAGAGTTATAACTCAGAAAAGAATAAAAAATAACCAAAATTAGTTCACATATGTATCGAGACATTTTCTGCAAGAAATGATTCCTTGATTTTAATAAATTAAGTACCAAAAAAAAAATAATAATAATTAATGATCTATTAAAGGACATATTACCTGATACTGGGCTGTCAGTTTCCTCGTGACACTGGTTTCTGCCACATAACCATTTTCAATAGAACTGTCTGGAGATATATTAAGCTGCAAACCTGAGACAACCTGAACTGACATTTTAGTCAATCCTACTTTATCATTGCCGACTCGAATTTCCTTTGAACCATAAACTCTACTTGTGATAGGCGAAAGAACCTAAAAAAGTATTTACATATTGTATGTACTTATTTCTATAGGTAACTGAATATTTACATTATAGATTGTTACATTATAGAATGGATCAAATAATCCATTTATGTGCTTGTATTATTGTATTATTACAAAAGTCGATTTCTTTAAAAAGTCGAATACTTCGAAGATATGATTATACAAATATTTTTGTAAAAAACTTTTTTGTTTTCAAAACGCTCTAAAATTATTTTAGGTAGATGTATATGTGTATACAGGGTGTCCCAGGCTAAGCGTGCATTAGAAGTCTGGAGAACTACAATATCTAGATCGGAGATTTTTAGCACATTATTGTTTCACAACGAGATCTATCGATTAAAAATATTTTCAATATGGCGACACTTCCGGAAAAACCGGAAGGCGACGGCAACTTTCTTATTTCAAATAGGTACCCCTTTTTATTACATATTTAAATTCTACGTCAAATTTTATAAATTTTGATATTAAACACACTAGTAAAAAGGGGTTTTCAATTTGTTACTTTTTGATTATACCTAAAAGAAATTGTTTTTAAGTTGTTTAAGACTCAGATTTAAAACGTATTTTTTTCAAAAAATATTTATGATAATTTTTTACGGTTAAGTTTTTTTAGTGATAATAACTCGAGCTAATGATAACTCGAGCGAAAATTCGCTCTAGTACTCGATTATTGAAATAGCCGATATCGCTCGATTACGAACGAACGATGCAAGTGACGAGTTACGAGCGACGAACGCAAGCGATGCTAGAATGAAATAAATTGAAATCCGATTTTAATGTGACATACTCGATACGAAGCCGAGCGAATTTTCTACATACATAGCAGGTAGCAAATTTATACGACGTTATCCGTTGCATTGCAAAATGTTACGACCTACATCGACATTACTTAAAAGTAAACTAAATCAGCGATTACTCGTCGCTTGCTACTTGCCTTCATCACCGAAAGAATATCTGCTCTACGCACGCAACTTACTGCTTGGCGTTACGAGTTGCAAATACAAGCGACAAGCGACGGGCGAAAAACAGTATTTTTAATACGAGCGAAATTTCGCTCGAGCGGTCGGCAAATTATTGAAATCGCTTGAAACTCGAGTACTCGATTATTGAAATTAATCGGTTTTCCCCATCGCTAATTATATAACATTCGAACAATTCAATTTCTGAAATAGATAGCCACATATATCTTCTCTTTATGTCACGGTAGCTGTGGTAATAACTAACTTTTCCTGAAGTGCAGTCATATTAAAAATATTTTAATCGATAGATCTCGTTGGGACACAATGACGTACAAAAAATTCTCCGATCTAGATATAGTTTTCTAGAAACTTCTAATGCACGTTCAGCCTTGGACAATCCGTATATGTTTTAGATATATTTCTGATGGTAGGTACGATATAGGAAGCCTAGTGGTACGACTTCAGCAACCGGTTTCCTGAATCGTACCATTTGCAAGGCTTTTGAAAATCAGTTTCAATAATACCTATAAAAATCTGAAAGAATATACAGGGTGTGAAGGAGATCAAACTAAATATTCGCGATAATCCCAACCAGCCAGCCCAAAAAATTTAGTAATTTTTTTAACATTTGTGCAAAGCAGTACGGTTTAGGCTACTCTCCCCCACCTAAATTTTTATTATTCTAACGCATTTAGCTTACTTGCACTTCCGTTCTTCCCATGCTTCTGCCCTGTAAGACTCTACCATGTAAACTGGCTATCCGCGGATCGCTAACTCTGAGCCACGGCAGAACCAAATCGGTCACTCTTAACCATGTTCGCCGGTTAATTAAATAATTAACTCGCCCAGATTCGTGATCCGTAGCCATAAAGTGGGCATACACGTCCACTGTGGTTTGCTGGTAACGTAATCGGCAGACCGGTTTGTCCACGACGTTGCCTATATCTTCTGCGTTGGCATTCCAAGGAACTAGTGACCGCCTTCTCCGTCTTGATTTAGTGGCTCTGTAAAATACAATCAGTTTGAATATTTATAGAAAATCTTTTAAAAATTGATTTGTTTTGTATTATCTGAAAACTATAAATCTACAACATTTCGTTGAATGCTGTAGACAATGGTACAGTATTGACAGTAAAAGAATTTTAGATTTCATTGTCTTTATTTATTATTTTAGTGATTCAAATACTGGAGATGTGTGATATGTAAGAAAATTATTTGATGTTCCAAGAGACAGGAATAACGAATAGTTTTATGAGAGAAGACCTGAAAATGTATAGAATTATTGAATAATGCCAACTTCGGTGATATGGAGTTTTTGGATGACTTTTGGAGTTTTTCTATTTTTTTAATGAAATAGGGCGAACTATATCAACAATATTAGTATCTGGTACTCTTTAATCCGATCCGTACTGGTAAAATTTGTTACATCTTTAAAAATAATCTAAAATGTTAATATTCCACGGGTATATTGATAAATGATGTCTAAATTATAAGAAAATGCATTTTCTACGAAAACTTGAAGATATTATAAAATGGTGTTATAATACAATTTGATAGGCAATTAAATTGTGCATATGATTTGAAGACTACAGGGGAAAACGACCTAAGTCACATTTTCTTACTTTTGAGATAAATGATTTTGAAATTTCCCATATAAATTTACATACTGGGCGCGTCTCAAAAGCTCACCCCTATAACTTTTTTATTTCTCTCTCTCACCCCTATAACTTTTTTATTTTTTCAGTTAGAAAAACGAGATTTGGTATGCGAGTATATGACATAAATTAGGATTTATTGACGTATTCAATTATGTTCGGTCACTTCTGGTTTGACCGGAAATGAGTATAACTTTTAATTTTTAAATGACACCCTAGGAATCTTTTTACTTTATTCCATAGAAAATGACACTCTCAATAGAATGACATATCATAATATGTCAACTTTTGACATTTTCGAATATGGTTTATTTGAAATTTTAACAAGTGGTTCATAACGACAATTTGAGTCGAAATACCAAGTGTGTGGTATCAAAATATTCGTAAAAAAATATTTTTCCAAATATGCTAATGAGCCCCTCTCGTTCCATTTGAAAAAATTGAGATATGATTAAAAATACGATTGGGGTATCTTTTAACCGGTGCGGCCAGGACAAGACATTAAAAACATTAAGACGATCAAATCTATTTTTTCAAGGCTCCTTGATTACAAATTAGTGTTTTTAACATAGCCGTGGCACTCTAGATTGAAATTTAAAATACAACTTTTTATTAAGCGAGAATGTCAAAAGTTGACATAAGATATGGTATTCTATTCAGAATGTAATTTTCTATTAAATATAGTAAAAAAATACCGAGGGTGTCATTTAAAAATCAAAAGTTTGGTTTTTGGTTTGGTTTTGGTAGTCATTTCCGCTGAAACAGGAAGTGTTTTAAAGTCATATTACTAACGTACCAAATCTCGTTTTTTTATCTGAAAAAATAAAAAAGTTATAGGGGTGAGCCACCTTAAAAAATAGTTCTTTAAGATCTTTTAAGAATTTGATAAAGAATTAGAACTGAATGACAGCGATTTTCATTTCATAGCCAGCGCCAGGGGCGCATATACGGGAGGGGCAATGGAGGTAATTACCCCTCCCAGGAAGAAATTTATAAATGAGAAAATCTGGTATAAATTAAAAGTGCCACAAAATAAAATAATAATATCAATCAATTAGAAATCCAGAACAATCTAGGTTTATTTTTTTTCCATAGTCACAATACCTTTAAGCGAAAATTTTATTTAAATCTATTACTTTATTTAATATTGCCACTACCCCTCCCAGACTCGCTCTCTGGATGCGCCACTGGCCATCGCTGACGCCATTTTTTCTCGATCATACGGTTTGGTTATGCCACAAAAAATTTAGTTAATAGAAAAACTTCAGTACAATATTTGGTCTTAAAAACTTAAATACGCCTAGAGTAATGAAGCATTAAAATTATTGTTACTGAATTTTCACAAAATCGTAAATATTTCAAAACCGGTAAGATTAAAGTGTGGTAAACCTTAATCAAATTTACCTTTATTGTAATCGTAGAAACTAAAAACGTAATAATATGCAGGGTGTTCATTAAAAAATACAGTTTTGGTGTTTTTACTTTATTTGGGACACTGTACAGGGTGAGTCAAATTCGACGCTTTTAAATTGAAACACCCTTTTCTATAGAAGATAGACGAAAACTAATATCGGTGTCTGGAGCTCAATTTTTGTCAAAAACATGATGGTGAAAACCGCATATCGATATCTGTTACCGTTTCGGAGTTACGGGGTGTTTTTCAAAAATATGCATTTTTAACAAATCGCTGTAACTTTTTTGTTATGGAAAATTTTGTATTTTTATGAAAACATTTCCAAAGCACCTTTTTACGTAGAATTTAATGGTTTAAGTATAATTTTTTTAAAATTAATTATTTAAGAATTATTAACAGAAAATTTAATTTTTTATATGGGACACCCTGTATATTTTTAATTAACTGAAAAGAATCTAAAATTACCTTTCCAAAAATATAGCACACTTGATATTTTGCTATAGTCCCCTTCGAAATACAAAATTTTTTTAAGTTCGTCACTTTTAACTTAATGATATGCCCTTAATGGAACTCGAAAACATATTTTTCCAGCAAGACGACGCACCGCCTCTGAACGCTGAAGTTATCAGCAAATTTTTGCAGCCATTTTCAAGAATAATTGAATAGCTAACCAAGATCTCAGCCGTTGGCCGTCGAGGCCGCCTGACTTAGTGCCCATGAATCTAATCCTATGGATATATTTGCGGAAGAATAATGGTTCCTTTATATTCTTCCGTATAATCTAGACGAGAATTAGAAATACTTAGCAGTTATGAGATGGTATCTTTCACCCCCAACTGAGTTAATAAATTCGCGAGAAATGTTCAAAAACTGCCCCGTCTGTCCATAACAGAAGACGGTCGATATGTCGAACCCCTGTAGCAAAATCTCATGCCTTGGTTTGCTATTTATTTTTATTGTTAATAGATATAGTTTAAATATGTTGATGTTGGTTAAATATATTTTAAATTGTTATAAAATTCTGCATCTCTCATTGCAAATATATTATTTTCGTTTTAATTGATGCTCACAGCTAGAATATTTTTGCATTACAGCCGGTGCCGTTCAAAGCCTACTTATTTAAAGCGGGCGAATTTTTATATACTCTATATCTCGAAGAGGAATCGAGCAAAATATCAAGTGTGTTATATTTTTGGAAAGGTAATTTTAAATTCTTTTCAATAAATTAAAAATATATAGGGTGTCCCATATAAAAAATCATATTTTCTGTTGATAATTTTTAAATTATTAATTTAAAAAAAATTACACTTAAACCATTAAATTCTACGTAAAAGGTGCTTTGGAAATGTTTTCATAAAAATACAAAATTTTCCGTAGCAAAAAAGTTACAGCGATTTGTTAAAAATGCATATTTTTGAAAAACACCCCGTAACTCCAAAACGGTAACAAATATCGATATGCGGTTTTCATCATCATGTTTTTGACAAAAATTGAGCTCCAGACACCGATATTAGTTTTTGTCTATCTCCTATAGAAAAGGGTGTTTCCATTTAAAAGCGTCGAAATTGACCTACCCTGTACCTTTTGAAAATAATTTTAAATTGTATAGCTTTAGTTCCTCTAACGATCCCATCACTCACAATTTCTAAAAATCCAATCATTTGGCTATAATATTCCGTGTCGAATAAGGTGAATAACCCTGTATATATACTCGTGATATGAACATAATTTCATAATAACTCAAAATTTCCAAAATTATTGCAGTTTTATAGAATTATTGTAGAAATTTTTTACATCTTTTGTCGGGCCATCTAGTTAGCTCTAAGTTTTAGGAACGTTTTCTGTATTTTCATACAGCTTTATTTTTCTATAGACCAAAATACCGGGATCCGTACTTTCCAAATAAATATATACCGACCAAAAACTTTTAAAACGTTGGAACTATATTGCGGGAATGCATTGAGAACTTCCTTTTTCAATTCTTCGAGTTGTTCGAAATAAACTGAAAAGTTTTGAGTTGAGTTCATATTCTGCATTAAAAATTCCTATATAACGACCAAGAAAAAAAGAAGAAATACTTAGAGTATTAGTATGGCAAACTTGTGGTAAGTACGAATATAAAAACAAGGATATTTATTATTATAATATTTACTATAACGTAATTTAATATTAACGCAGCACATATTTAAAAAAAGGAAGAAATTGGTGCATGGGCGCCACTATGAGACGAATAATCTCAAAAGATGATACTAAATTTATCGACAACGGGTTAAACAAATCCGGACAGAACGCCTTATAGTTTTATTCCAATTAGAGCTTCATAATAAGATAGTTATTAGTATGTCCTAATCCGTCACGGGGTGTATGTATCATACACCCCCTTCAGGCATCCAAACTCAGCATGATTTATATTTTTTAACTAAAATAAGGTTAATAATTTTTGACTGTAATTCTCAGGTTTTTTTTCATTAGTATTTTTTAACCTCTCTATGCGTTGATGGAAATTATTTTCAAACTTATATCGGGTGCGTCTCAAAAGTGGGCCACCCCCTATATTTTTTTTATTTTTTCAGATAAAAGAACAAAATTTAGTATGTTAGTATATGACATAAATTAGGATTGATTGACGTACTCAATTGTTTTTGGTCCCTACCTGTTTTACCGGAAATTACTACAACTTTTGAGTTTTAAATGGCATCGTCGATATATTTTATTCGATAGAAAATGACTCTGACGATAGAAAATGAACTTTTGACATATTTTCGCTTTAAAAAAATCGTATTTTAAATTTCAATCAATGGCTGTGTTAAAAACACTAATTTTTAATCAAGAAACCTTGGAAAAATATATTTAATCGTGTAATGTTTTTCGTGTCTTATCCTGACCGGTTAAAGATGCCAAAAACGTATTTTTCATCATATCTCAATTTTTTCAA